TTCTGTACATCATCTAAAAAATATATAAATCGTGCTATGGTTTATACAGATACATCATGACTATGTTTTATACATTTCCAACCAATTTCTATTGATAATTCTGTAAAGTCTATGCCAACGGAAAAAAAACCCCAAAAAAACAGAACAAACAACTTATTCAGTTAAAACTTGCTGCTTTCCCTAGTCTTCCAGACTGGTGAAGGTGAGCTTCTAAAGTGTCACAAAACCCACATGAAAGAAAGAAAAAAAAAAAAAAAAAAAAAACACCTGTCAGTAAATGCTAGGGATGCACCAATGCCACTTTCTGAGCAAAGAGTACCAATACTTTTTTTTTTTTTTGTAAGTACTCGCCGATACCAATTAATGATACCTTTTGTTGGGAATTAGGGAGATCAAGATGAAGAGGAGGAGGAGGAGCAGGGGGGTGGGCCTTCATCATCTATCAGTGTGCTGTGTAATATTAACACCTGGCTGAGACCAAGTGATGAAGAAACGCAGCACTCCCAACACTCACCACTGCTGGTCCCACAGCTAAGAAGATAGTGCTGTCATCCCATATTCCCCTCCTCCAATCCCATCTCCTCCATCCCACATCCCCCTCCTCCAATCCCATCTCCTCCATCCCACATCCCCCTCCTCCTGCAGTTCATACAACATATTTGAGTGCAGGAGTAACATAAAATACAGTGTATTGAGTGCAGGAAGAGAATGGGGTGTGTGTGTAGGGGGAGAGAGATGGAGAGAGCCAGAGAGAGAAAAAAAAAAGGGGGTGAGAGAGCAAAAAGATAGTGAAAGAGAGAGAAAGAGGGAACAAAGACAGATAAAGAGTCGAGAGAGTGAGAGTCGAGAGAGAGAGGCAAGAAAGGATATACTCTCTATGGTATGGGCAGCACAGGGTTAACAAATGTGGTCCTGAATATATTACAGCTTCAGTGAACAAAAGATAAAGCACACCAACCTTGCGCATTACCTCAAGTTAATTGATTTATTGATTTAGGAGATATACTCACAAACATAGTAGTACAACAAGCATGTAAAGTCCAAAATCGAACCACACAATAAGGAGACATGTGCGCATCCCATCGGAAGGGGAGATCCTCAGAGTGACTCTGACACGTTTCGAAGGGGGATCCCTTCTTCATCAGAGCTCTGCTCGTGCAAATGCCTATTATCGGCACCGATATTGGTACCAGTGCAACCCTAATAAATGTTGTATTAAATGCTGTTCATACTCACTCATTCACTATGAAATTCCTTTTCTGTATTCTGCAGAAAACTTGGTTGGTCCTGCTTTTCTTTATCGACCCCCTCCTGTCCATGTCCCCAATACAGCTGGGAATTTTGCAGAGCTGTGTTGACAGCTACCGCACATGCTCAGTTTTCAGTGAGTTTCTATGCTGAGCATATCCTCCCTCTCACATCTGAGCAGCCCATATGATTACAGAGTCACACATGTGGGCATTAACACAGTGGTAAATGACAGCACACTCCCTCCCTCCCCCTCCATGCCCACTAACCAGCAAAACACAATGAGAGTGGAATATTACATCCTGATTGATGGAGGCTTCATCTCCCTATTATTCTAAAACATGGGCTGGAGGGGTGTGACACAGTTTGCGACTGGCAGAAATCCACCAACACAATGTTATTACTAAAAATAATAAAGATTTGATTTCAAATATATATTTGTATGATGATTTAAAACAGTTTATTGATATTTATTTTTACTCTGTATCCCAAAAAGGTACTTGGCTTTTTTTTTTGTTAAAATAATTACAGTGCCGCCATCCACATACTGTACAGAAAGAGAAGAAATAATGTATTATATGAATTAAACAGTGTGTGTTTAGTATCACTTTAATTAAATCTGTGTATATTGGCTAGGTCTACTGACATTTGACACTTTGAAATTATGCTATTGGCTTTCAAATTAACTTGTAGAATGCATGGTCATTAAAATGCTCAACTTAATCCACGTAGCTGCCAAATTTTCATTAAATGCCCTATAGGGTGCTGTCATTCATAGCTATATCTGAGCATGGATGTTCATCAGCAGGAGATGATGTGTTAATTCACTTTACCCATAGCATTGTCATTTCAATCAGAGGTCATCCAGCACGGCAAACTTGTTCAAAGCAAGATTCAAGAACTATAGTATATTTGAATAAAAAAATGCTGGTCTCAATTAATCGAAAAATTGTGTGTGTCTTTAGTGACATTGTCCAAATAATGTCTTCAGAAAAAGCTCAGGTGACTTGAAAGAAGGAAGGTCACATTAAGGATTAATGATCCCCTGGATGTTAGAATGTCTGTTCTATTTGGTAGTGCTAAACTCTGGAGTAATTGCAAACCCATGTGGATTCCTCGACTATGCGGGTATCTTTAATTCTCTTTGAATGAATATCCAAAGTCCTATCTCAGTCCTAACCGTGCGTACATTTTAAAACAATCCAACAAAGCTTTTTTTTTTATCAAAGAGAAAAATGCATGTGTGCTTTCTAGTGGAACACTTGTGAAGTTAACCACATAGTGACTGATTGTCATGCAAATTAGATGTTCATATACCTTATAATCAGCCTAGCACACTATGTGTTTTACATATCTATATAACCTGTAATGTACTGTCTTTTTCAGCCCAGCAATTGGCAGGTATGGAGAGTTGTGTTAAAGAATAAGTGCACTTCATGCCTCCCAAAACACTTTTATGCAAAAAGCCAAGTAAAATACCATAGCATGTTAATGCTCTCCTGTAGCCTGTGCAGTGCTTACTAGTCAACCACTTGAGCGCCGGAAGGTTTTACCCCTTTCATGACTAGGGCATTTTTCTTGCTATTCAGCACTGTGCTACTTTAACTGCCAATTGCTCAATTGCAATACTGTAAACAAATTAAATTTATATAATTTGTTCACACAAATAGAGCTTTCTTTTGGTGGTATTTAATCACCACTGGGCTATTTTTCTTTACATATGAAAAAAATACTGAAAGTTTAAGTTTTTTTTTTTCTTAGTTTCAGTTATAAAAGTTTGCAAACAAATCATCTTTCTTCATACATTTAGGCCAAAATGTAGTCTGCTACATTTCTTTGGTACAAATACCCTAAATCAGTGTATAACATTTAGTCTGTGTGAATGTTGGCGTTTACAAACTATGCACATACATACACATATACACACTGTGTGCACAATTATTAGGCAAGTGAGTATTTTGACCAAATCATCATATTTATGAATATTGTCCAACTCTAAGCTGTATAAACTTGAATGCTTATTGGATTAAGCATATGAGGTGATGCGTTTCTGTGTAATAAGGGAGGGTGTGGCCTAAGTAGTGTAACACTCTATATCAACATCTGCAGAATTATTAGGTAGCTTCTTTTCCTCAGGCAAAATGGGCCAAAAAAGAGATTTACCTGACTCTGAAAAGTCAAAAAATTTAAAAAGTATTTCAGAGGAATGCAGCACTGTTGAAATTGTCAAGATACTGGAGTGTGATTACAAAACCATCAAACGTATATAAAATATATACATACACAAATTATCTCCAAGAAGTGAGTACACCCCTCACATTTTTGTAAATATTTTGTTATATCTTTTCATGCGACAACACTGAAGAAATGACACTTTGCTACAATGTAAAGTAGTGAGTGTACAGCTTGTATAACAGTGTAAATTTGCTGTCCCCTCAAAATAACTCAACACACAGCCATTAATGTCTAAACCGCTGGCAACAAAAGTGAGTACACCCCTAAGTGAAAATGTCCAAATTGGGCCCAATTAGCCACTTTCCCTCCCTGGTGTCATGTGACTTGTTAGTGTTACAAGGTGCTGTGACTGGCCCAGGTACCATGTGATAGCTGTGGAAGCCATTTATGACAGTTTTGCTTACATGTTATCATGTGATTGCTATGATACCCCAGCCACTAACAGTGGACGGTTACCGAGCACTGTGGTCCGTTGTGTCAATGGGACACAGCGTTCACAGGATCACGCTGCTGTGTGCCCCAGGGAATTTTGAAGGGTGCACCTGCTATATACCCTTCAAGCAGACTTTGCAATAATTAGGGATATTTGGTTCACACGTATTACAATATATGTTTAAGCAGGCCAACTGCATTCTTTAGAATTTATAGTGTTAATATGTGGTTACACCCCTTTAGCACCTGATGGATAAATGCATGTACTAGCTATCAGGATTTGATCACAGGTATATCTTGTGTGTGCCACAGTGCGCATGTGCATTCTGCTTGCGGTCGGCAAATTAAAAATGTCACATACACGCAAAATGGGCTAGTACTATAGGCAAGTTTAACACAGTGGATTACACAATTTGTAGCAGGCTTCCTCAAAGGAGAGAATGAAAAGTCCACCAAAACTCTTCAATTTAATTCGGCCATACACCGATCAACTTCTGTACAACCAGCCTGTCAGATCAATGCCATTCGATCAGCGCCACATGCTATAGCGAGCAGCACTGATCGGTGTATTCTGATGGCAGATGATACAAAAGCTCAGCAGGAATGATTCCCCCATCTCGAATGTGAATTGGGTTAGTTTTTGTTTTGTTTTTTCATTCAACCTGCTGGTTGAATGAAAAAATACTAAATCATCTATGTGCTGCTTTAGCGATGGTATGTACTTCTTATGCCTGTGTAGGAGTAGAAAAGCTAGCAATCACTGTGCTGGTTCCATGCAGGATAAGCAGTTGTAGTACACGATCTGATGCAGCCCTATAAGAGGTTTTTGTTTAAAAAAAACACTGGAAATAGCATATTTTCCACAAAAGATCAGTACTGCAGACCGCTATTTATCTGTTTGAACAAGACTGTTGACAACATTAAAGTGAACCTATTTAATTTATGTTATTAAAGTACTGGGTGAATGGCAGGCAACATAAATCACCTCACACCATGAGATGCCTTTAAAGTGTTACTAAACCCAGGACCCTGCACTTGCCATACCTGGTCTCCCACAGTACACAGAATTTGGAAATGCAATTATTTTAGTAAATATAAACTGCTAAATACCTTTTCTCATCAGCAGTTATAGCAGTCTTGTGACTTCTATCAGTGTTCAGCCGAGTACATGTTAAAGCTTGTAGGAGCAGTTTTCTTTCTGCTCTAGGAAGATGCAAAAACCTCTGACTTCTGTCTGGACAGCGCTGATTGGCCCTGTCCTTATCACATGCACTCTCTCAAGAAAAAAAAAAACCTCTCTAGCAATACGCACTAAAGTGAGCATGTGCATGTGGCTACGGGTTCAGTCTGTCTTATCAGGTGGACATTTGAACAATAGGAGGGGCAGAGAAGACAGAATCAAACAGGCTTTTTACACTATGCAGAGGATTAACCCCTTAGGTTCCACATGGAGTATGACAAGCATGCTTTACTGCATATACAGACTAATTTTACGGTTGTGGATTTAGTAACACTAAGTACTTTTCAAATGGTTTCCAGGAAACCCCCATGTAGGACACACTGAGCAATGAAAAGGGGGAGAGATTAGTTGAGATCCAAGTTAAGGCCAACATTTTGGACACTGTGCCCACAATTGGCAGTCCACAAATTCTTTTTAGCACTTTTGGGTGGCTGATATTTAACCTTATTATTTTATTTACGGATATACATTAAGGAAGCTCATTCTAACATTTGAATACAAGTCCATCTAAATGCTTGGCAACCACCTAAATGTGCTTTTATGTTTTGCCTACACAACCTCTTTAAAAATGTATAAATGCAGTACACCATGAAACAAGGTGTTAATTATTTTGGGACCATTTGTTTCTCTACTTGCCATCAACAACAATGGATTAATTCAGACAACAAAGATTCCCTCTGAGTACTCTATTTTCAATTACAAAGAAAGTAGCACGTTTTCATTAATACTGTTTCAATTTAAAGTTTTCTATACAAGAAGTTCTAATATTTTTATGGCTCATAAATATTTTCATATACAATCTTTAGGATTGATGAAGCATATCACTGCTGAATCCTTTCCGTTTGGTGATAAAAAAAAGGTACAGCTTTGTATTGTTTTTACCCATTCTCTGCTAACACTTGTAAAAATAGGAAGTAATGCTACAAACCCTTTATGTTTTTTTCAAATGATTCAGTAATTTTGTGGTTGTAAAATGGTTTACATGTGATCTCCACTAACATCCAGTGCAAACAGATAGCCAATTAAAAGTGACATTGCTATTAGAAAAAAAAAATAAAGAACAAAACAAAAACTACAAGAACAATGCAAACGAAGAATAGTAATAACAGAAGTAAATCTGGCCTTACTCTAGTAGAATCTAGCTTGAAAATGTACTTTGAATTTTCTAATAGTTAGTGGGGACTTGTGATAGAAGAGAAGACGTACACATTTCTGGGGGAACACATATGTCTTATGGGTGTTTGAAATGGTTATGTTGTACTATGCTGGCCAAAAAAAAAATCTCATAAATGAGCATATGACATCAAATGGATTTCTCTACAGAAGGCAGAGATGAACAGAGTTTTTTACCTCAATGGGTCATTTTTGCAGGACTTTGATGTGGAAGTCTGCCCTCTCCCCCAACCCTATTAAACCGAAACCAAGTAGGGAACAAACTGCCTGAAGGTAGGAGAACTTGTAAGTCTTGTCTACCAAAAACTCCATTATCTGTCCCCTAGCATATGCAAAATGTAATGCACGCTCTTGGCTGACTGCCACCAGCTGTAAGATGGAGCTGGGGGCTGGAACAATAAAAACGCAGCAGGAGCCAGTGCATATCAGATCTAAAATTTCCTCTGTATATATTCCCTTCTAGATTTTAAGATAAATACAACAGGCATATACACTCACCAGCCACTTTATTGGATACTCCTGTTCAATTGCTTGGTAACACAAATTGCTAAATCAACCAATCACATGACAGCAACTCAATGCATTTAGTAATCTAGATGAGGTAAAGATGACTTGGTGAAGATGACTTGCTGAAGTTAAAACCGAGCATCAGAATGAAGAAGAAAGGGGATTTAATTGACTTTGAACGTGGCATGGTTGTTGGTGCCAGACGGGCTGGTCTGAGTATTTCAAAAACTGCTGATCTGCTGGGATTTTCACGCACAACCATCTCTAGGGTTTGTAAAGAATAGTCCAAAAAAACAGTCCAAAAAAGAGAAAATATCCAGTGAGCGACAGCTGTGTGGACAAAAATGCCTTGTTGATGTCTGAGGTCAGAGGAATATGGGCAGACTGATTCGAGAAGAAAGACAACAGTAACTTATGCCAATATGGGTCAAAACCTCTGAGGAATGTTTCCAACACCTTGTTGAATCTATGCCATGAAGAATTAAGGCAGTACTGAAGGCAAAAGGGAGTACAACCCAGTACTATCTAGGTGTATCTAATAAAGTGGCCAGTGAGTGTATGCAAACCTGCAGCATATTCTCACCACCTTATGCATGTAATGTAGAGGCTACCAATGAAGAGATAATACAGGGAAACCTTTCATAAATTAATATTTCATATTTCTGATCTGTTCTAGTCTGCTGCCAGATTAGAACACAAATTTCACATTTTAAAGCAATTAACAATATATGGGTTGTTGTTCAATGAAGGATTTAATGCATCAACATGAGCATCCCAACACCATAACACTCACCTCATGCCTTCTGTTGAGCTGTTCTGATGATTTCGGTACAGCTGAGGAACACCAAGCATAGCCTCTGTGAATACTGCTAGAAAGCCCAGGGTCTCTACATAGAGCACAGAGTCTAGGGACAGATAGGTGATGTATCCAACAACAGCAGTGAACGCCAGCACACACTGCAAGTAGTCTGTAAATCTGCTCCAGTGCCAGAAGAAGTTCATATCAAAATCTGCAACAACAGAAGTCGAGAGTTGTCTAAAACCAATCACAGAAAAGATGTTTTGTACAGTATTAAAACAATGGTAGATTAGATACCTTTTTAGTATATATTTTATTTATTACGTTCAGGGTTAAACTACAAAAATGTTTGGATTTTTTTTTCTAATTTACGTAAGTAAATCTCAAATGTGCACCTATGATTTGAGGAAGTAACTCATTGAGAGGGAGAGAGGTGGGGAGAGAGAGGGGGGAGAGAGAGGGGGGGGGGGGGAGGAGAGGAGGGGGAGGAGAGGGGGGGGGGAGGGGATGGAGAGAGAGAGGGGGGGGAGGGAGAGAGAGGGGGGGGGGGGAGCGCTCGAAAGAGAGAGAGAGAGAGCGCTCGAAAGAGAGAGAGAGAGAGAGCGCTCGAAAGAGAGAGAGAGAGAGAGAGAGAGAGAGCGCACGCTCGAAAGAGAGAGAGAGAGAGAGCGCTCGAAAGAGAGAGAGAGAGAGCGCTCGAAAGAGAGAGAGAGAGAGCGCTCGAAAGAGAGAGAGAGAGCGCTCGAAAGAGAGAGAGAGAGCTCGAAAGAGAGAGAGGGAGAGCGCTCGAAAGAGAGAGAGGGAGAGCGCTCGAAAGAGAGAGAGGGAGAGAGCGCTCGAAAGAGAGAGAGAGGAGAGCGCTCGAAAGAGAGAGAGGGAGAGCGCTCGAAAGAGAGAGAGAGGAGAGAGAGCGCTCGAAAGAGAGAGGGAGAGCGCTCGAAAGAGAGAGAGAGAGAGAGAGAGCGAGAGCTCGAAAGAGAGAGAGAGAGCGCGCGCTCGAAAGAGAGCGCGCGCTCGAAAGAGAGAGCGCGCGCTCGAAAGAGAGCGCGCGCTCGAAAGAGAGCGCGCGCTCGAAAGAGAGCGCGCGCTCGAAAGAGAGCGCGCGCTCGAAAGAGAGCGCGCGCTCGAAAGAGAGCGCGCGCTCGAAAGAGAGCGAGAGATCGAAAGAGAGAGAGAGCGAGAGCTCGAAAGAGAGCGAGAGCTCGAAAGAGAGCGAGAGAGATCGAAAGAGAGCGAGAGCTCGAAAGAGAGCGAGAGATCGAAAGAGAGAGAGAGCGAGAGATCGAAAGAGAGAGAGCGAGAGATCGAAAGAGAGAGAGCGAGAGATCGAAAGAGAGAGAGCGAGAGATCGAAAGAGAGAGAGCGAGAGAGATCGAAAGAGAGAGAGAGAGAGAGAGATCGAAAGAGAGAGAGCGAGAGATCGAAAGAGAGAGAGCGAGAGATCGAAAGAGAGAGAGAGCGAGATCGAAAGAGAGAGAGCGAGAGATCGAAAGAGAGAGAGCGAGAGATCGAAAGAGAGAGAGCGAGAGATCGAGAGAGAGAGAGCGAGAGATCGAGAGAGAGAGAGCGAGAGATCGAGAGAGAGAGAGCGAGAGATCGAGAGAGAGAGATCGAAAGAGAGAGAGAGATCAAAAGAGAGAGAGATCGAAAGGGAGAGAGAGAGAGATCGAAAGGGAGAGAGAGAGATCGAAAGGGAGAGAGAGAGATCGAAAGGGAGAGAGAGAGATCGAAAGGGAGAGAGAGAGATCGAAAGAGAGAGAGAGAGATCGAAAGAGAGAGAGAGATCGAAAGAGAGAGAGAGATCGAAAGAGAGAGAGAGAGATCGAAAGAGAGAGAGAGAGAAGAGAGAGAGAGAGATCGAGAGAGAGAGATCGAGAGAGAGAGAGAGAGAGAGAAAGAGAGAGAGAGACACACACTGATCTCACAGTTTCTGTTTTGTCCTCTCTTTAGAATCCTGTGTCATGGAGGGGTGGCCCTACAATTTGTGCAGACTGGGCAGCTGCACAAGGGCCCTCTGCGTTTTAAAGGCTCATTTACTGTATACTGTATGTGGCTTGGGCAGATGCTGCAGTCATGTAAACCTGGACATTGCTCATTTCCAGGGCAGATGAGAAGTAGGTGCCATGAGATATGCAGAATACCTGTTCCATATCCTCTTTGCATTATATGGACTATAGGCAGAGAGTTTGTTGTCTGACCCCAATGGCTTAATATGAACAATGAGTGCAATCAGGATATCAGGATATTACCAATATATTAATTAAAGTAAAACTTAACCCTAAACCTTTTTATTTAGAGAATTGATAAGGTTTGAACTGTTTTTTATTGCTGTCTGTGTCCTTATTTGGGAATGTCTGTCTGCAAAACAATCCAAAGTTCTATAGTTGTCAGCAGAAGAAGGAATAGAAGAGATATTTTCCATGATCCCAATTCCAATGACAACTGGTGGGATTTCTTCTCTCTTTGGGGAAACTTTTGTTCAGTTCATGTGGTATTTGCTAAAGTGTGAAGACATTCCCTCAGATACAAAAAAATAGGGAAAAAATGTTTGGGTTGGAGCAAAAACAGATATACA